TATATATATATATATATATATAGTGGGAAGAATCAAAGCTGAAGCAATACTTGCTCACTGATATGAACTAGCATTAACTTTACTATTTTACATTCACTTTAATGCTGCTGGGAGCTCCTATATAAAGAGCCTTTCAGAATGTTCTTTAAAATAAAACCAAGACTTGGAAAGCACAATAAAATTCAATTTATCCTGATCAAAACACAAAACAAACAAACAAAAAAGCATCACTGGTAAATTGACTCCTCCTGTCACTTAACTACTAAATAAAGTAGGATCAGCAACCTCCTAGAAAGTCAAAGGATGTACCCATTATTTAAATGCTGTTTCTGAAATCACTACAAAACACAAATCATTAAGTACAAAGTCTTAAGCCTAAACCAAAACCAAAACATCATAAAACAACAGTTTATGTTATTAAATTTAGTCATTTTCACTTTACACAGTTACCATGGTTAAAATAGAAATGAAACAAAGATTATTAGGGATAATTTCCTCTTTTTAGGATACCCTAAGCTTTTTACAAGATGACACTTAAAAACATTGTAGTAGTATTAAGAATGTACAGGTTTTGTAGCATCTTTTCATGTCTGGTAGTCATCTGGATGTCTTCTTTGGAAAAGTGTCAATTCATGTCTGCTGGCCATTTCTTCATTGGATTACTTGTTTTTGAGGTGTTGAGTTTGAGAAGTTCCTTATAGATTTTGGATACTAACCCTTTATCTGATATGTCATTTGTAAATACCTTCTCTCATTCTGTCAGTTGCCTTTTAGCTTTGCTGATTGTTTCCTTTGCTGTGTAGAAGTTTTTATCTTGATGAAGTCCCAATAGTTTATTTTTGCTTTTATTTCCCTTGCCTCTGGAGACATGTCAGGTAAGAAGCTGCTGCAGCCAAGGTCAAAAAGGTTGCTGCCTGTTTTCTCCTCTAGGATTTTGGTGGTTTCCTGTCTTACATTTAGGTCTTTCATCCATTTTGAGTTTATTTTTGTGCATGGTGTAAGAAAGTGGTCCAAGTTCATTCTTCTGCATGTCACTGTCCAGTTTTCCCAACACAATTTGCTGAAGAGACTGTCTTTTTTCTACTGGATACTCTTTCCTGCTTTGTTGAAGATTAGTTGGTCATCTATATATGTCCATTACTGGGTTCTCTATTCTGTTCCATTGATCTATGTGTCTGTTTTTGTGCCAGTACCATACTGTCTTTATGATTACAGCTTTGTAATACAGCTTAAAGTCCAGAATTGTGATGCTTCCAGCTTTGGTTTTCTTTTCCAGGATTGCTTTGTCTATTCAGGGTCTTTTCTGGTTTCAAACAGATTTTAGGATTGTTTGTTCTAGTCTGTGAAGAATGCTGGTGTTATTTTGATAGAGATTGTATTGAATATGTAGATTGCTTTGGGTAGTATTGACATTTTAACAATATTTGTTCTTTCAATCCATGAGCATGGAATGTTTTTCCATTTCTTCATGTGTTCTTCAGTTTCTTTCATAAGCTTTCTATAGTTTTCAGCATACACATCTTTTACCTCTTTGGATAGGTTTATTCCTAGGTCATTTATGTTTTTTGGTGCAACTGTAAACGGGATCGATTCCTTACTTTGTTTCTGCTGCTTCATTATTGATGTATAGAAATGCAACTGAGTTCTGTACATTGATTTTATAGCCTGTGACTTTGCTGAATTCATGTATCAGTTCTAGCAGTTTTTTGGTGGAGTCTTTCAGGTTTTCCATGTAGAGTATCATGTCATCTGCAAGGAGTGATAGTTTGACTTCTTTTTTCCCAATTTGGATGCCTTTTATTTCTTTTTGTTGTCTGATTGCCGAGGCTAGGACTTCCAGTTCAATATCACTCATCAACAGGGAAATACAAATCAAAACCACACTGAGAAACCACCTCACACCTGTCAGAATGGCTAAAATTAACAACTCAGGAAACAACAGATGTTGGTAAGGATTGAGAGAAAGGGGAACCCTTCTGCACTATTGGGGGGAATGCAAACTGGTGCAGCCATTCTGGAAAACACTATGGAGGTTCCTCAAAAAATTAAAAATAGTACTACCCTATGATCCAGCAACTGTACTACTAGGTATTTATCCAAAGCATACAAAAATGCTGATTTGAAGGGATACATGCATCCCAATGTTTATGGCAGCAGTACCAACAATAGCCTAATTACGAAAAAAGCCCAAATGTCCCATCGACTGATGAATGGATAGAGAAGATACGGTGTGTGTGTGTGTGTGTGTGTGTGTGTGTGTGTGTGTATATATATACATATATGTATATATATATATAATGGAATACTACTCAGCAAGCAAAAAGAATGCAATCTTTCCATTTGCAACCACATGGATAGAACTGGAGTGTATTATGCTAAGAGAAGTAAGTCAGGCAGGGAAAGACAAATGTACAATTTCACTCATATGTCGAATCTGAGAAACACAACAGATGAACGTAGGGGAAGGGAAGGAAAAATATGTTAACAACAGAGAGGGAGGCAAACCATAAGAGACTGTAAAATACAGAGAACAAACTGCGGGTTCCTGGAGAGGAGGTGGGTGGAAGGATTGATGGGCATTAAGGAGGGCACTTGTTGGGATGAGCACTGGGTGTTATATGTAAGTGATGAATCACTGGGTTCTACTCCTGAAACCAATACTACACTGAATGTTAATTAACTTGACTTTATAAATACATTATAAGAAAGAAAAATAAAAGAATGTGTATGTTTTGTAGTTAGTGCTGAGTTTAAGTCCAGCTCTACTAGTTAAGAGCTGACTGAAACAGCTAAATTACTTGAGCTCCCGGAACCTCAGCATCCTCAGGTGTAGACTGAGGGCTGCCATGCAAGGGTGCTGTGAAATTCAATGAGATACCATAGAGTGAGTCTGCAATAGTGGCCAGCACAAAGTAGAGGCTTTATAATAATAAACACAGATCTATTAATTTTAATTCAGTTTTTTCAATAGTTTATACTACTTTATGTTAGATGAAGAAATTGTTTTTGCAACCAGTTATGAACTGTCAGTATAATCTATTTTGGTTAAGCTTTCTGTTCAAGTTTTCTGTCTCAAATCTTATTTTAAAGAAATATAAATCCTTGAACTGGTTTTATGTTAGCATTTCAACCAATACTTGGGTGTCCTAGAAAGGGCAAAGCACATAAAGACAAAATTAGGTATAGAACCAGTCTTTAATGAGTCTATAGTCTAATGGGAGATAAGACAGATATATAACTATTGACACAAGGTAGAGTGTGGTAGGTGTTATAAGAGAGGTACACCATCAAGTTCTACTGACGTTTGGTGGGAAGAGAGTTTATTTCCAGTTTTTGAAGGAGGGTTAGTAAAAGACTGATTGCCTAAGTTATACTTACTTCATTAAATGAAATAAGTACATCTTTTTTTCATGTGTTCTGGAACAGCTTACCTAGCAATTAAATTATCTACATGTTAAAACTCAAACAGAATTAACTGATAAAAGATAAAACCAACTGGTCCCAGGAACTTTTTTGTACAGTTTGATATGTATCTGAACTAAAACATAGATAAGTAATTTGTTCAAATTGTCTATATCCTTATTCAAATCTTCTTGACTAACAATGATGTATTAAAGTATTTGTTTTTAGGGGCGCCTGGGTGGCGCAGTCGGTTAAGCGTCGGACTTCAGCCAGGTCACGATCTCGCGGTCCGTGGGTTCGAGCCCCACGTCGGGCTCTGGGCTGATGGCTCAGAGCCTGGAGCCTGTTTCCGATTCTGTGTCTCCCTCTCTCTCTGCCCCTCCCCCGTTCATGCTCTGTCTCTCTCTGTCCCAAAAATAAATAAACGTTGAAAAAAAAAAATTAAAAAAAAAAAAAAAGTATTTGTTTTTAGTTGTGTTTGTCAATTTCTCCGTGAATTTTATTAAACAGCTTTTGTTTTATGGAATGTTTCTATGCTGAAGCAGTATTATAATTGAGAGTCTTTAAGTGTGTATAATTAGCTAAAAAGGAAACTCATTCTTTTATATTTCATTTATTGTTAAGCCATTATATAAAAAGAGAATGGTCATATACGGATTCTTCCTTTTTTTGGTGCATAAAAATGGACGAGTAACAGCAACTCTCTTTATAGTTCTTCATGGTTAGGACTCTAGGAATCTCAAAGAAGCCCATTAATATGTTAGGGTTCCTTTTCTTATTTAGGGAATTGAAATTAGAACAGTTGTATTTACTATGATTTGGACCTCCTCTCAGTCAGCTAGCCATCTGTCAAAAACGGACATCCTTTGCTTAGTCTTATTTCTTTTTTGTTTTGATTGCATTTCCCTTTATTATTTATTCAAATATACAACTAGAAGTTTTTATTTATAATCACATATTAAAAAACCTATATATAACATTGTAGCTTCTATTTCACATATGAGAAAACTAGAATTAGTCTAGGTTGTAGACTGGATTCCTAATTTTTACTTCTTCTAAGAATAGCTTTGTTAACTAAGTTACCACTTCACATTTTGGTCAAAATAACTCAGGTAATGTCTCCCAATTTCTCTGTTACTTCAACTGAAAAGTGAGGATAATGATTTGGCTCCAATATGGCTCATAATCGGGATATATGAGGAATGAACATTAGTATATTTATCATAAGGATCTTTTTGTAATCTGATGGGCACAGTTTCTGGTGTGAAAACATGATGATAATTTTTGTCATCCAGCTTACCTTGCCAATATATTGATTGAAGGTGTTTTTGTGTATTATGGATATTGTATCAAGTCTTACCTGAACCATTTTTCAGATATCCATTTGCATCTACAGTTGTATACATGATATAAGGTCCAGGCTGATTTACTCCAAAGGGCTGCAATAAAAAAGGAATAAATAGTTAAGCCTACAAAAGTAAGTCATTTGAAGTTTCAGACAAATCTCTTACAAATAAAACAGTTTTACAATAATTATTATATAGAATATATGTTATATATTATGTATATTATATATATACATATATACATATATATGTGTATATATATATACACACACACACACACACACACACACATACATACATATATGGCAGTTAGAGAACATTTCCTTAAGTAGACAACCTGTTAAGTATTCAAAAGAAAACCTCTGTGGGGCGCCTGGGTGGCTCAGTCAGTTAAGCGGCCGACTTCGGCTCAGGTCATGATCTCGGGGTCCATGAGTTCGAGCCCCGCGTCGGGCTCTGTGCTGACAGCTCAGAGCCTGGAGCCTGTTTCAGATTCTGTGTCTCCCTCTCTCTCTGCCCCTCCCCCGTTCATGCTTTGTCTCTCTCTGTCTCAAAAATAAATAAACGTTAAAAATTTTTTTTTTAAAAATAAAAAAAAGAAAACCTCTGTTAGTAGAAAATTCTCAACACTTTAAATGATTTCATAGTTGCATTTATAGTTATTTTATTGTATATTTCTAACATCTAATATTATTCTTTATTATATTAATGTGAATATTTTAAGCAAAATTTACTACTTTTGGTTCCACATAGAATAGAGTTAGGAGAGTCTTATTATGACATTTCTGTTGAGTATAGAATTCCTTTTTCCTTCTGGGATGGATTGGACATAGTTTACATTTTCCCAAAATAAATATCAAAATGAATAAAATCCATCCATAATAATTATAAAAGACTGGAAAATATTAATGAATAGTTCCACCACATTTCTTCTCTTATGCTAGACTTAAGAGAATACATTATTTTCCAGTTTAGGAAAACACAACTGGCAGAGCCTAGTTACAGTCACGATGTTTGGCTCCAATTTGTGTATTTATTGTTCCTTACTTCTGGAACATTCCTCACACCTTGATACAATGATTTATTCTCTCTATATATCAACACTAATTAAATAGAGTACAAAGAAACCAATGTCTTTAATGGGTATCCTAAGAGGAGATGACAAAATGATTAAGAAATTCTTTGAACACTTCACAGAATTCAAAATTCTACTGTTCTTCCCACTAAAGTAGAGAAAAGTTAACTAAGACATGTAGATGGTCTAATGATGTGCTAGAAATGATTTTCCTCCAGGATGACAGGCCAGAAATAATGGAGTTAACTGATATGACAATTACCTGATTGAATTTTAAGAGTGTTAGAAGTCTATGGACTTTCAATGGTCATGAGAAAACAGGTTGCTCTAAGAATGGAATTATTCATAAGATATAACTGAGTAAAAGATTCATGAGTAATACAACTACTAACAACAAACTTATCAATGAAGTCCTTTTTTTTCTTAAAATATTTTTTTAATATGTATTTATTTTTGAGAGAGAAAGAGTGAGAGCGTGAGCAGGGGAGGGGCAAAGAGAGAGGGAGACACAGAATCCGAAGCAGGCTCTGGGCTCTGAGCCGTCAGCACAGAGCCCGAGGTGGGGCTTGAACCCACAAGCCATGAGATCATGACCTGAGCTGAAGTTGGGTGCTCAACTGACTGAGCCACCCAGGAGCTCCAGTGAAGTCCTTTTCTGGAGGAAAAAAAAAATATTTGTACACTTTGTACAACATATATTACTTCAATGAAAGAATGACCAAGACTCTTTTGCAAATGGGCAAGAGAAAGCATTGTTCTTTAGATATGCACAATTTTAAAGCAACTACAGGTAGTTTTATAGAAGTTACACTATGGAATTATCTTCATGCAATTATTCCTTTTTACTTTATAGTTTTATCATTTATGCAAATGTGTTAAAATATATTTGGTTATGCTTGTTTTAAATTTTTATGTAAATAGAACAATACTGTATGTATCTTTCTGTTTTTTTAAAACTTGCTTTTTAAAATATATTATTTTGAGATGTATTCATGATTAAGCATGTAGCTGTATAGTTCATTTTCACTGCTTTGGAATATGCCATTCTACGATTAGGGTATATTTTTCATTCTATTGTTGATTGGCACTTGTTTCCTTTTTTTTTGCCATGATAAACATGGCATTCTTATGTATGTTACCCGATGCACAAGTGCTAATAACATTTATCAGGGGTTATGTACCCAGGGCAGAATTGTAAAGTCAGAGGATATGTGTGCATCTTCAAGTGTACTAGGTAGTGCCAGTTTTTTAAAAAAAGTTTTTATTTAAATTCCAGTTAACATACAGTGTGATATTAGTTTCAGGTGTACAATATAGTTATCCAACACTTCCATACAACACCTGTTGTTCATCACAACAAGTGCACTCCTTAATCCCCATCTCCTATTTCACCCATTGCCCTACCCACTTCCCATCTGGTAACCAGTTTGTTCTCTATGGTTAAAAGTTTGATTCTTAGTATGCCTTTCTCATTTCTCCTACCCCCCCTCCCCTGCCCTGCCCTTTCTCCTTTGTTTCTTAAATTCCACATCAGTGAAATCATATGGTATTTGTCTTTCTCTGACTTATTTTGCTTACCATAATAACCTCTAGTTCCATCCATGTCATTGCAAATAGCAAGATTTCATTATTTTTTATGACTAATATTCCATTACATAGATACCACATCTACTTTTTATCCTCTCAAATATAGGGTTAGAGTTAGGGCCAGGGTTAGGGTAGGATTAGGGCCAGGGTAAAGGTATGTGCCTGGCATCCTGCAGTTCAGAGACCTTTCCATAGAGTTAGGTTTAGGGGTTAGGGGCTAAGTGTTAGGTTAGGGGTAAGGTTTGGGTTACGCTATGTGCCTGGCATGCTGCAGTTGAACAACCTCCTCAGAGAACAAAACCCCAAACTTCTGCTGGGGTGAGAATAGACATGGAAGCCATCTACAAAGCTGAGGCAAGGAGAGGATTTGGGGCTCTAAACACTCTTTGAATAGATATTCAATATTTCCTTCTGTTTTTTCCATTATGTTGGTAGGTAGCAATATTATTATTATTATTACTGTTGTTAAGTTTTAATTTAAATTCCAGTTAGTTAATGTACAGTGTAATATTAGTTTTAGGTGTACAATATAGTGATTCAACGCTTCCATACAACACCAGGTGCTCATCACAAGTAGTGCCATTTCTTTCTTTCTTTCCCTTTCTTTCTTTCTCTCTCTCTCTCTTCTAAAGTGGTAATACAGGTTTACACTCCTACTAGCTGAATGTTGCTTCACATGCTTAGCAACAAACATTGCTAATGTGGTATACACTTCTTAATATGAATTATTTCATCTCTCCTAGGTTTATTTCTTTGGAATAGGGTATGCCCTTTCATAGTTTACTCTTGTCTCATCCCACCGAAGCTTGAAATAATATTTATGAGGCTACATTTATCACTGTGTTACAACCTCAAATTTACTTCATTACCCATGGTCTCGTCTATGTGCTGGAATATTGGTATCTTGAATATAAGCAGTGTTTTCAGTGAACTTCCCCAAATGTATTCTAGACTATTTTTTGTACTTCACACTTGAAAAATTTCATACTATTATCCACAGTACCTTATTTTACAGATTTACTTAGGCATGTAAATTTTCTCTCTTGTTCTATATTCATTTAAAAAATAAGGTCAGCAAGTCACTATTATGAGTCTTAAAGCTGAATTTCACTTCTCACCATGGGTCGGTCACTTTAATATTGAAATCCAGATTCAATTCCTCCATACAATAGTTCTGAGTATGGTGGAATGTCCCTGGGTCCCTGGGATATCCCAAGGTCCCACTGTAAAAAGGGTGAATAATCAGCAGTGGCACTAAACTATGGTTGTTCATTAGGTATTTCAATTTAGCCAACATTTTCTTGAAAATGACAAGGCAAGTCTGTCATTTGTAGGAAAATGACTGGCAGTATTCGTGGCTAATGATAAAATTTGAGCTTCTCAATGAAAATTGGAATTTTATTTATTTTTAAAATTTTAGAGAACGAGCGTAAATAAGGGAGGGGGCAGGGGTGGGGGGAAGGGGGGGAAGAGAGAGAGAGAGAGAGAGAGAGAGGGAGAGAGAGAGAAATATCTTAAGCAGGTTCCATGCTTAGCATGGAGCCTGATGTGAGGCTCAATTCCACAACCTGGGATCATGACCTGAGCTGAAATCAAGAGATGGACACTCAATGGACTGAGCGAGCCACCTAGGTGCCCTGAAAATTGGAATTTTAGAAGACTTGTATCCACCACTGTGAGCCTGAAATATTAAAAACTTAACAACTTTTCCGATGTGATCAGTGGTGATATAACAAGTGTGATTTTATTTTGTTTATTTAATTAGTTAAATTTTTTAGTAGGCTTCAGGTCCAGTGTGGAGCTCAACGCTGGGCTTAAACTCATGACCCTGAGATCAAGACTTGAGCTGAGATCAAGAGTTGGACACTTAACTGACTCAGCCTCCCAGGCACCCCTAACAAGTGTGATTTTAAAATATTATATAATGAAATATGTTAATATTGGGAAGATCTGCATAACTTGGTAAACCAGTATTTTCCAAATGACCAATGCATGATGTTATTAAATCATTCATGGATAAAAGAAGATTCAAAGTACAAGACAGACCAATGGATTTTAAAATAATAGAGGAGAATCACTTCTAGAATGGTATAGTAAGGACCTCAAAAATCTCCTTCATAAAAGCAATGAGAACACTGGTAAAAAAAAATTGTCAAATCCTTTCAGGACTCTGGAAATCAAAATTTTGCAAGCATCTGAAAAGAAAAGAACTTCAAGAAAAGAACTGAATATTGTTAAGAATAGTGCACTTTGCTGCATTTTAATTTGTCCTATTCCTATAACCCTTTCCCTAGCTCTGAAGTAGGCTTTGAAATCAGCAGCTCTGCAACTACATTAGTGTGAAAATGAAAGCATAGCAGCTAATAGAGGGGCAGAACAGGTTGGGAGCTCCCAAAGCCTCATCCACAGAGAAATGTCACTATTTGCTGTG